TCTGTTCTCTTAATTGCAGCATCTATAAGTTATTCATATTGCTACAGATACAATTTTGTATTCGAAACTATGAGCCTCTCAGAGGAACAGTTCACTATCCTTTTCATCCTTTCTCTTCATCTCATTAATCAGAAGCAAACTCCTCTAGTATCAGGACAGGAACGAAACTTCAAAAGAAGATCAAAACTTATAAAATGTTTTCAAAGAACACATTAAGCAAATTAAAATTACCTCCTTTTCTGTAAGGAAAAAAAAAGAAGGCTCAAACTCACCATTTATTTCCAACAACATACAACCATATCATGAATGAAAGAGAGCACCACTGTTCACTGCACGCAGTGGTTCATTTTATATTAATTATGTAGTATTAAATAATTCTATTTATAAGTAGGCAAAAGAGGTACTATTTTGTGCAACTCAGTTTACAATTGATTTTTAAAATGTCACAGTAAATCTAATTCAGTTATTGCAATGTCATAAAAGCAGCATGTCAACTGATAAACATTAATATGTTATCTTAGGACCACACAGGGATAAGCTAGTTCTCCCACCTCGCCCCGCTCTCCCCTGCCCCGCCCCAGAGAGGAAACAATGCTGGGAATGAATACTGCTGAGTAATTTCTTGTGTCCTCCCAGTTCTTTCCACCCCAGCCTCCAGCTCTCCTTTGAAACCTTCTACATTAACTCTTCTATAAAATACATTCAAGCAATATTCACAGAATCACAGAATGGTTTGGGTTGGAAGGGACCTTAAAGATCATCTAGTTCCAACCCCCCTGCTGCAGGCAGGGACAACCTCCACTCGACCGCCGCTCCACTCGACCGCGTTGCCCAAAGCCTCATCCAACCTGGTCTTAAACACTTCCAGGGATGGGGCATCCACAATCTCTCTGGGCAACCTGTTCCAGTGCCTCACCACTCTCACAGTAAAGAATTTCTTTCTAACATCTTAGAGAGAACAACTATCTACCTGGGGCTGGGGAATGCAAAATCTCTGATTGAGAAATTGCAAATCGATGATTCCAAGATGAAAAACCACTTTAACTATTTAAAAACATTTGGAGTATTTCCTGCCCTGATGTATATAATCAATCCATATATGCCATAATATTAATACGTGCTGTGAGAAAATATGTCAAAGACTAAAAGAGATGACTAGAAAGACAACTAACTTTGGGTTGTAATATCAAAGAAAAGGTGCTCAAAGTATACATTTTCAAAAGTAAAATAATCTTCAAAAGAAGATCAGGAATGTCCAAGTTACTGTCCATAAATTTCTTTCTGGGTCTCTGTTTCCAAAAGGCTTAATTTTTTATTAGTTTTTTGTTGAAATACATCCAACTTTTTCAGGCTATTTCTTCAATTTGCCAAATTTGTTTTCATTTATAATCCTATTTTCCAGCATGATTTTAACCCTCCCAGCTTGACATTATCTGGGTGCGTAATACCTATCCATCATTCAAAACATTGATGAAAGACTCAAACATATGACAGATCCCTACCAGATGCTACTAGACATCTTTCCAATTTCACCATGAATCATTGATAATTACACTTTGACAGAGTCTTCCAATCAGATAGGCATCCATATAATAGCAATGTCATCTCATATGCTTCCCACCAGCTTGCTAATCAAAATCTTCCAAGTCAACATAGTTTTCCTAATGTCATTGTTACTACTGTTTTTTCCTTATGTGTAAACCCTGTTTTCCTGTCATCCAAGAAAATCAGATTTGTTTAACACTATGAATTGCCAAGAATGTCAGTCTTTTTTATATTTTTCCCCATATTCCTTATCTTAGAATTAATTTTTTTTAAAAAATTAATACTGTTTACAAATAATTTTCTTTGATTGTTCTCACAATATTTTTCCAGAAGCCACAATAAAAATATTTAACTACTAATTCACTTTTTTTTTTTTTTGGCAGGCAGTTAGTTTTGCCCTTCTCTAGTCTCCTGGGAGTTCCCAAAGTTGGCTGAGACTAAGGACCCCATTCAGGGTCTACTTCATCATCCACAGCCAATCTGAAAATAGTTTTTAGTGTTTCAGTAAGAAATATCTCAGTGTTTAAGAAAGGAAGTTTCCTAAGCCACTAACCCTCAGACATACCAGGATAGATCTATCACTTTTTAGTATAGATGTGATAAATCGCATCACTTTTTTCTTTAAAATTATAGCTTTTTTATAATTTTAATTGAAATTAGTTATTTGAAAGAATCAATTGCCGTGTGGGTAAGTAAGACTGACAAACTAGCTGACACAGCCAGCTTGGTCTTCCAAAGCCATTCCTTCACAAAGGCTCTTCTCCAAATGCTTACAAGAAAACTAAGCAGCAATTACATAAGAAGGATAGTCCTTTCATGCATAAATATTTGATTACAAGAGACGAAATAGCAGAAACACATGGTCAAGTCATAACACCAACAGAAGGCCCCCGAGGAGTTTTGATGGAACCTGTGGCTGGGCTTTGTGCTGTCTGACATATCCTAAGCAACCCAGAGAACAGGGTGAACAGTAAGATGACATTTTCCTCATGATATTAGGTTATTCAAGGCAGTAAAGACAAAAGCCAAATGTAAAAAAGGATTTTACAAGACTAAGGAACTAGGCAAGGGCCAGCAGATGAAATTCAGGGAGATAAGTGTGAAGTTACACACAAGTGAAAATAATCCTACCTTCATGTGTAACAAGCTTTAATCTAAACTGATTATAACCACTGGTGAGATTCTTCAGCTATGATAAATATTCCCATTAAAATATTAGTTCAGTACTCAGTAGCAGTAGAAAAACCAAACAAGCAAATTGAGTGTTGGGAATTGTTGGGGGAGACGTACAGAATAAAAGGACAAACACTATAACATCAATGCATAATCCATTTTACACCTGTATTATGAAAGACTGAGCCATTTTGGTCTCCTCACCTCAAAAAAAGAGTTATAGGTCTGAAAAAGATTTAGAGAAGAATCAAAGAAATGTCACAGTTTCATGAAAGGAACTATCACACATGCTAAGATTCTCCTATCTGGAAAAGAGCTGAAGGGAGAGATGTGATGATGATGTCCTATAAAATTACCAGTCTCAGTGCCACCTATACCAGACATCAACTATTTAATGTTTCTTCCAGTACAAGGAACAGGAAATCCTAGGAAAAGCAGCCAAAGTCTGGTGCAAAAACAAAGGAAAAGCACTGTTTCTTCACATGACTTGTTAAGCTGTGGACACTAGAATTTTACATTGGTCCAAAAGCAACTGGCTTAATTCAAAGAAAAGTCCATTGAGAGTTATTAAGCACACAAACTGTACCTGGATCATAAAGAGAGCTTGGTGGAGATATTACTGAATACTAGGTCTATTCTATGAACTTTTGGACATTGCTAGCAATGCAATACTGGTCTACTCAGTCTTTGTTATTTTATTATAGGGTAAGAATTCATGTTGAATATATAGATAAAATACATTCTTTTTCTATTTTGTTAGGTTTGCCCTTACAAGAAAATAAGAGCTCTTGTTAAAGAGAGATAATGTTCTATGAAATGAGAGAATAGGAGGACTTGTAATGGAGTTACTAATTTACTTTCCCTCAAGATGGGGGGAATAGCTTCTAGAAAAAATAGCCAAATACATAACCACTTTGGCAGGTGACAAAAGTATCTAAATACCAGGTTCAGATTCAAAATGCCAAGACAAGATACTAATGTGACATTTCCTTTAGAAAGGCTACCAGAACAGTGTATTATAATATTCCTTGTACTGCTAAGGTGACACCAACTATCACCATTAGAACATCTAAACAATAAGGCTTTTGAATAGCAGAACCTCCAAACATGTTTTTGACAATATTAGTTCTAGCAGCATCCTAGTGCACCTACTATAAATAAATATTCAGTAACTATTACTGTCAATCTAGATACACAAGTTATACTAGAAAATAATAAATTAATTCACTGTATTAAATTCCTGATGAAGACCCAGTCAGTTTCCCACTGATGTAACTGCTATCAGGCTTGTTAGTTCCATAGATACTTAGGTTCATGACATGCCTAAGAGCTGCAAAGTCTGGTGGTAAGCCCTGATGATCACAAACTTGGAAGTAAATTAAAAAAAAAAATTCAGTTGTTGCTGCCTGCCAGCAAAGAAGTTTAGATTGGGAATCTGGAAGTGAGAGAAACACAGGATTATGTTTTTGTCTGGGGAACTTAACAGATGGTATAAAAAGGAGCAGCTTTAAATAAGCCCAGCAGCCAAAAAGTGTGTGGAGACAGCAATAAGAGAATTTTTTTGATCTATTCTGTGCCAATGTTCCGTATAGCTTTGTGAAACGGCATAGAGTCTCAAAGCTTTATCTTATAGCTTTATTCATCTAGATTATAAGAAGACTGAAGTATTTTAACTTTGGGAAAAGAATGTTATGTTGTGAATAGAAGTATTTGAAATAGGTATTTACAAGATACTCTTTTTCTAAGACACAGATCTCAAACGTTGCTGAAAACACAACTTCATTCTGTAACTTAGAATTACAGAAGGTTGCATATGCAGATTTCATATCATATTTTCTTTCAACTTAAAAGAAATGAACAGCTAAATCCCTACCCGGCTCATACAA